CCTTCAAACCCTTAAAACCCTTAAAACCCTCCAAATCCTTCGCGGCAGCTTCCACCAAGCCCTCTGGCCGTAAGCTTCTGCTGTTCCAGCGTTGCAACCTGCCGTTTCGTGCACATAGCCTCTGTTGTTAGGGCGGTCAAACCTGCCGTTTGCCAGGCTTCAAACCCTTAAAACCCTCCAAATCCCTCGCGGCAGCTGCCACCAAGCCCTCTGGCCGTCAGCCTTTGCTGTTCCAGGGTTGCAGCCTGCCCTTTTGCCTGCACATAGCCCTCTGTTGTTGGGGCATTCAAGCCTGCCGTTTGCCAGGCATCAAACGCTTAAAACTCTTAAAACCCTCCAAATCCCTCGCGGCAGCTTCCACCAAGCCCTCTGGCCGTCAGCCTTTGCTGTTCCAGCATTGGCGTGCCCTTTGCCTGCACATAGCCCTCTGTTGTTAGGGCGTTCAAGCCTGCCGTTTGCCAGCCTTCAAACCCTTAAAACCCTCCAAATCCTTCGCGGCAGCTTCCACTAAGCCCTCTGGCCGTAAGCTTCTGCTGTTCCAGCGTTGCATCGTGCTACCCAGCCGGTCTTTAAGAGTACTATGTATCTATCTATCTATCTATCTATCTATCTGTCTGTCTATCTATCTATCTATCTATCTATCTCTCTCTCTCTCCCTCTCTCTCTCTCCCTCTCTCCCTCTCTCTACAGGACCCCCCAAATAGGGGGGGTCGGCGGCACCAGGGCGCTAGCCCATTCTATTTGCACTTCCAAAACCATCATTTGAGCTTTACAGCATGCCCACTTTCCACCGAAACTCCACCAAGCAAATAGAATTTCGGCTTCGTTGGTTTGATCACTGCTGGCACTTCTTCGCCGATTTGAACTTCCCACACCACGTCGCAATGGCTGCAGAGTGGGAGATTGGCAAAGCGCCCAGACCAGCAGGCACCAAGTTCGGTGCTTCGGCAATCCTTCTTGTCCACATCGTCCCCCAACTCTTTAGGTTTGTAGCAATGAACATTCACATTGGGCGTGACAATGTACCGGTATGCCAACGCTGACTGGGTACCATCGGGACCCACCTTGTCAGGGTGAGACCTTCAATAGTTGATTGAAAAGATGTTTGAACTGATATGCCGTTGGATTGATAACTTGCTTTTTGAACTCCGAGACCTTCACTTTGGGACGCAAGTTGTGATCCACCAGCAGCTTGACTTCAGTCACACCGCGTTCACGGGCCACTGCACACATGGTTTCAGCCAAGGGCATGAGACATTTGCTGGGAGGGTCACCTGGCCTCACCAGCGCCACCAGGACCAGGACCTTGTCGTCCAACATGCTCCAAGGCACATAGTCCGGCGATGTCGACACTGCAGGGTGGATGTTGATGCTAAGCTAGATGTCATCTACATACATCGCAGATAAGTAAATACTGAGTAAATATATGTAAATATGTTGATACATATCCTTTACATATATATATATATGTTTGAAAATATGTGTGTTTATAAATGTGTAATCAAAAAAAGGTTAATGCAGGTCCATGGATTTACCCATGAAAACAGCATGGTGGATCTTTCCCATCAGTTTTTCGTATGTTTACCAGGCCGGGTATGTTACCCTCTGGTAATTTAACATACCTATGGAAAATCACCATGTTTAATGGGAAAAAACACTATAAATGGCAATTTTCAATAGCTATGTTAGTTTACCAGAGGGTAAACATCACCAAACATATGCAGTCCCCAGCGTGAAATCTTGACCCATAGCCATGTTGCTATTGGGTTGCTATAGGGTTATCCCGTTGTGAACATCGAAGGCTGTTGAAGACTCCGCTCATCGGGATGAGGTACCCTTGTCCACGCATGTTAAGAAACCCACACATAGAATTAGTCTTGACAGCTCCTGGAAATCATGTTGACACCATTTTTGGGGAGGCGTCAGTGAGGATGAAGCCTTTGGAAGCCACGGTCAATTTTGTGTAACCATTTATACCTGAAATGATCTGTACCGCACCTTTATTCCAAGCCTGTCTCTGTAGTGCCCAGACTTTCATGCTTGACAAAGGACGACAACATTGCTTTGGTTCATGTCTTGCGACTGCAGGTGAGCCTTATTTAGCCTTCCAACCATCTAAAAACGCAAAGGTCTGGACTGCCATCCCCCTTGGGAGCATCGTACCAAGGATTTCGGGATGGCTTCGGGCGAGATTCATTGCTGGCTTCGGCAGGGTTGCCGAAACCAAAAGTATCCAATTTGCTACACACATGTTAATTAATGTTACCCTCTTGTAATATAACAGAACTATGGAAAATCACCATTTTTCATGGGAAAATTCACTATAAATTGCCATTTTCAATAGCTTTTTGTTTGTTTACCGGAGGGTACCCTCCAATGAAACGGTATCACGCAGTAGGTAAACCGTGCATCTTTGGGGTGCCGCCTGGCTTTGGGCATCACCAACTAGCTCAATCTCTCTGGGAAACATCCTGGCGCGGCGGCTGGGTTACGCTGTTTGGGGGATAGAACCAAGGAAATCTGCACGATTTTCGGGGCTTCAAAAATGTAAATCATCGCATGTTTGGGTGGGTGGAATGTGTTCAACCATCGTTTTAGTAGGTCAGCAAGCACTAAGAGCAGAACAGCTGGGTTTTCCATGTTCGATGCTAAAAACTACGGTGAATTGTTAGCATAAGTGTAATTATTATTATTGTTATTATTATTATTATATTATATTATATTATTATTATGCAAAAGTGTTTACCATCACCGATATCGATTGTTGGTAATTATTCATCATTATTATTAAAATTATTATTGTGCAAAAGTGTTTACCATCAGTATTATGCAAAAGTAAACTAAGTTTTACCATCACCGGTATCTACGAGCGAATGTCAAGCGATGAGAGGTCAACAAAGTCATTCCAGTGCAGTGAACTGATGTCAGTAGCGAAAAAAGATAGGTACCGATAGGTACCCAACTAACACATGGATTGAAAAATGACTCATTGTGTATGGATCATATACTGGTTGGTGGTATACCTACCCCTCTGAAAAATATGAGTTCGTCAGTTGGGATGATTACATTCCCAATATATGGAAAAATAAAAAAATGTTCCAAACCACCAACCAGTCATTTATAATGTGTCCGTGGATATACATGCATATGTGCTACAAAAGGCAGGAGAGTCAATCTTACCCGTTATACGGAAAATTACCTTGAATCAACATTTGAAGAACATCAATTAGATGGATTTGAACAAAGGTGAAACAACCTTTAGGGTTTTTGAAGGATAATGACCATACTGATTTTACACATGGTTCAAGACATGATGTCATATACTGCTTTACGACCTGATGTCACCAGACCCGTAGTGGAATGTGGTTGCGGATCGGCTCTTAGTTTTATATTGCTCTATTTGATGAACATGATATCGCAGTAGTACATCATCCACATATTGACATATCATATGTTGAGATTCATAGTGTTTCTCCATATCATCCTTGTTTTGTTGGCTCACGTCCATGTTGGCATTTTCATATGGCTCACATCCACCAGCCATTACTAGTCGTGGTCGTAGCCTTGGCCTTAGGTACCTGGGGTTCCTTTCTACGGATGACCGGTTCATCTTGGTATGTTTCTATCCATTGGATAAACATCATTGTCCCTATGAAAATAAGCATTTATTGAGGCATAATAAAAATGGATAGAAATGGCGGTTTATGGTGGTTTAATGATCCATGAACAAAAATCCCTTGGGCCCTTGATTGTCCCTTGACTTGGGAGTGATTTGAATGATCTATTGAGGGACACAACTTTCAATCACAAAAATCAGCCCAAAATCGGCCCTAAACATGGCGACGCGACGCCCCTGCGGCATTCACTTTGGTCTGCGGTCGGGGTTTGGCACCTGGCACGAGCATCACTGATGGTTTATACAGTTGGTGCACGACCATGGTTGCTTGGTTGCTTCGTATAATGAGTACAGAATGGGAATGTATGGTACAAATGGTATGATACTCCGCATGATGTACTCATTATATCATTATATAGTGGTACAATTATGTATGGTACATAATGTATACAATATATATATATATATCATGATATCATTGTATATATCATGATATCTTTGTATATACTGTATCTTGCGCTTGCACAGTGAGTTTCCAGCCAAGTTGGATTGCCAGAGGCTAAACTATCATTTTTTCATATGTTTTCCCATTCCTCAGGCGAATCAACGATGGTTGTTTTACGTCCAAATAGTGTAAGGGACTGCCATATCAACATGCCCATCTGGTCAATTTAAGCGTCCGCTCTTCGGTATGAGCAAAGAAGCCAATCCCACTCTGCAATGAAGATTTCAGCAAGGAAAAATATGCGGTGAACACCAATGTAACTATGGCTGGTTGGTGGTTAATTTTTACCATCTTGAAAAATATGAGTTCGCCAATGGGAAGGATGACATCCCATATATGAAATGGAAAATAATCCATTCATGTTTGAAACCACCAACCAGTCATGATTTCCCCATGATTTCCCTACATTTCCCATTTCCCCATGGGTTTTTTAACGGATATGATTTGGATCTGCAAGAAGTGGGGATGATATGAAATAAAACAGGTATCTCGGTGAAATTCCAACATCAAATTGCATACATTTTATGCATACATTTTATGTTAGGAACTCAGTATGGAAAAACCTAACTATCATAGATAATCATAATTATGTATTTATTGTACTAACTATTATATGCTTAACTATCATGATTTCTTAACTATCTATTATGTTCTTAACTAGTTACTACAAAATATCGTACTTGTTGCAATTATGTCCAGCTAAATAGATAAAAATAATAATAATAATAATGAAAGTTCAAGATAATTCTCGAAAACATATTCTTTCCAGTTGGTGAATGATTGTAGCCAAATATCATGGATGTTGGTTCCAACTTATCTCATCATCTGCGGGGTAAAGCTCTAAGCCATGATGTCACCAAACTTTCATGGATGAAAAATATGAGAAACTTGGATATGATTGCCTTTCACCAGGGACACCTGGTATTTTCAAGTATTTTCGTATAAATAGGAATATGTATGTGTATGTGTATATATATATATACACACACATATATATAAATACACTAAGCAGCTATTTCTTTTTTGCAGGGTACTAGTGTGTGCAACCCCCGTTGATGGGTGTTATCGAGATATCACCATGGAACTTAACCTTCCGGAGATTCCAGCCCCGTTTGGAAGATGGAAACCCATAGATACACGCATAATCACGTATATAGTCAATCTTGTACCCTACAAAAAAGAAATAGCTGCTTAGTATAGTATCTATGTATATATATATATATATGTATGCATAATAATAATATATATATATATATATCCCTTCCAGCCCCCTGTCTCACTTTCCCCTATGGCCACTCCCTCATTCTTGGACCCAAGTATTCGTGGCCATGCCCATTTTATTACTTGGGTTCAAGATGTTCAATCCAAAAAATCCCATAGCAACGGCTCCAAAACATCAACAGTCGCGGCAAAGTCACCTTGTGGCGACACCGATCGCGGTCTTGAAGCCACCTGTCGATGCGGCCATGGAAAATTCACCGGATTGCGATTGGAGATTTAAAAAAAATAAAAGTAAACCATTCTGGGTAAATCATAATATTTCACTAACCTGAAATTTGCGGCTATTTGGGGATGATGTCCCGAATCCTAACCATGATTCCAGGGTTCGGGAGAACAGTGAGGTCGTGATGAAATTTACCCAGACCATTGTTTCTTCATGCTTTGATAGTGAGGTATGAGATATATTATATAAGCATTACCCTCTGGTAAACTAACAAAACCATGGAAAATCACCATTTTTCATGGGTAAATCAACTATTTCTATGGCCATTTTCAATAGCTATGTTTGTTTGCCAGAGGGTAACATTAAAACCATTGTGCTTTCCCATAAATTTGTGGGGTTCCTTCACCTTCTCCCTTCCAGGCATTCGGGATCACTTGCCGTAAGACCCATTCTATACATTGAGTGCAGCGCGCTGGACCTTTCCCATACTCTAGTGATATATAGCACACCACGAAAAGAAAGGCAAAATAATTTTGGCAAATACCAGAATAGTGCTAAATTGAACCTATTGTTTGACCTTTTGGATGTTACAATTTACTATACTTGTTGATCCACTGCACATGGTCGATCTTAGATACCCTGCGGTCAATTTTTTGGTTGGTTATATAGTGGATACCCTCGTTTCTACTTAAAGGTTAAAGGATCAAAGTACCCCCGGTTTCCGAGTTTGCTAAGTACACGTTCAGTTTCACCAG